TTTACTTTGGATTTGGATTACCCACCTATGATGTGTCCCATGCGTTTACCTGCCACAGGTACCCACCTGTCATGCTCCCACCATATGTTCCCACCACCCACTTGCTACCCTATTACTTATCCACCTGTCACACGATCTCCCACCTATCTGCCATTATACACCCCTACGCACCAGGCACCCTACCCTCACTCACCTGGCATCCTACCATCTCCTTGCCAAGACTCTAACTCCCCCTGTCGACCTGGCATCCGACCCACATCACTCACTGTTCACAGAACTGTGTACGGACCCGAAGCGTTAACTCTGATCTTTTTGCTTCATTGATGCTGCCAGACCTGCTGAGCTTTTCCGGCAACTTCTGTTTTTGTTCCTGATTTACAGCATCCACAATTCTTTTGGTTTTTATTTACTTTACACATTTACTTCCTCTCAGTAGCTGTCAAATTGGCATGGAACTTTTAAACATAGAATGTGGCAGCATCTGCTGAGAAAAGCCTATGGTTTGTCTGACAATCCATTCCATTGCTGCCTGCCAGGGGGGCACAGTTTAAAAATGAGGGGAATGGCAATTAAGTCTGAGATGAGGAGAAATTATTTTACTCAAGAGTGTTGTGAAGGTTTAGAATTCCCTACCAAAGAGGACTGTGGAGGTTTGTCTTTGAGTACGTTTAAAGTAAATATTGATAGATATCTGATTATGCAGGGTTATGGTGAGTAAAGACATTGAGGTGTTCAATCAGCCATGATCATAATGAATGGTAGGGCAAGCTTGATGGGCTGAATGACTTACTACTGTTCCTATGCACCTATCTTTTTAATTTGAAAAAGTAATGCTTCCATGACCAAAAAAGCAAGCAAGTGGAAGAAAGGATCTTTTTTAAAGACTTTCTTTTCCTTGAAATTTGCTGAATTGCCAGTTTTAAACAGGGCTCACTGTTCCAAGCCACATGTTAAAATATCCGTGATCATCAATATTAGTTTTAGGTGCTGACAGTTGGTCTTTGCTTTGACTCAAATGACCTGATATTTTGTAAGATGGAACAACATGGATGACTTTGTCAATATTTGGAAACATCTGTGCCCCCGAACGCAGCACACTGATTCCTGTTAATGTTTGATACATGTGTCATCATCTTCGTTGGCTAAGTTCACACAAAGTGGTCTAGGCAACCATGGTCTTCCAGACTCTCTGATCATAGTGACAGTGGATACCTTGTCGGTGGAGTTTTGGTTAATACAGAATTCAAACACATTTCCAGACTCCAACATTTCTTCCATTAATCCTTCTGGTAGAGATTAAGCATTCCAAACATTCTCCATGGATAGCAAGCCCAAAGAATTCCATTTGTATTTATTTAGTATTATTTAAAAGTAATCCCTTTCTTCTAGAACTGACCAGTCCAACACATTTCTGGTAGGTCTTGCACCTTTACCCTACTCAAAATTGAATCACTCAAAAGTCTGCTGCTTATGTCTTAACTCACAGCAAGTCCTGTTTCTCTATCATCCTGAGCTCACTGACTCATCTTAGGTAAGCCCCTTAAGAAGACCCTTATCAAAAACATTGTTTTTGTCCATATAAATAACGTCTATAAACCTTCCTCTGACCACTATTATAATGACCTTTTAAACACTTCTATAGAGTTCATCTGACATGATCCATCCTTTACAAATTCAAGCTGGTTTTCTGTGATCACCCAAAAATTTTCAAGAGTGCTCATTCACCTTTATTTAATAATAGAACCCAGCAATATTGGGGTACAGCTGTCAGGGTAACTGATCCATATTTGTCTGGTTTCTCTCTATTACTTCTATTAAATATTAGAGGGACACGTGCCATATTCCATCCACAAAGAACGACTGCCAAATTGAGAGAACTTCAGAAGAGTTTTGGAGGAATTTTAAAAGAGAAGCATCGCTAGTGGATGAAATACTAGATTTTTGTGGAAAGGCATGAAATTCGATCTGTAAGTGTGGATAATTATAAAACCATATCAAAAGAAAAGATGCTAGTTGTTTACAAGTGAAGCTAATTGTTGTGGTCTAGTGGCCAGTTATCTACAACATAGGTCCTCTGCCTGGCAACAAACATGTGATAAGATAGAGAGAACCAGATAGAGTCAGACCAGAAAAGAAACCAGCAAGTCTGCAGCATCTTGTGACATTGTAGCAAAGGGCACTCATGCTTGGCCACCAGGCCATAGCCCACAGTGGAACAGTTATCAAGAAGGACTGTAAAGTTGGCACTTTTTTCTTTATTTCTATATTTCTTTATTTTTCTGCCTTTAACTTCTGTTTTGGTTTATCTTTCTGTGTTTTAAGATGGTGCCCCAGCGTGGTGACACTATACAACACTTTTCACATTATTTTGTAACAAAATACACGTGACAATAAATAAATCAAATCAATAAATCCAAAACACTTTCTCTCACAGTCCTTTGCAGTAATCCACTTTAAAGTTGAAAAAGCTTATCTTTTCTTCAGCAGATGCTACAAGTTATGACTTTGATTTGGATAAGTCAGAGACCTTTCATAAGTGAACCAGCTACCCTGTGCCTCTTGCAGACTAGTGGAATCGTTTCGTAAACGGAGGATCGAGGAGAAACCTTCAGATCATCAAGAACCAACTTAATAGATCTTGTGAACAATGACTAGAGAACTGATTTTTCCTGTTTTCCTTCAACATATATATTTTTATTTTCCTTGCTTTTGCGTGTGTGTTTGTGTATGTGTGTGTGTGTGGAGTTTATAAATTAAATCCCTTATAATTTTTACAGTTTTCACTTGTAGTATTTACTTAGTTTTATTTAGTTTAAGTTAATTTAATTGTTTTCCCTGTAGCCAAAATTTATTTTCCTGTAATAAATAGTATTCCAAGTATTCCATATGAAATTCAGAAAACAAGGTCTAAAACTCAGGCAGTTTGAGGATTTTCCATATTTCTTTTCTTGAAACTCTAACTTTTATGATGGCTCCAGGAACAGTGGGGCTTGACTTCCAGCATACTACCCAATGCATTGTGACACTTTTGATTATTTCTACCAAAGAGCTAAGATCTCACATTTTGCTACATGAAGGTCCATCTGCCACATTTTTGCCAATGCACTCAAATTATGTATACCCCTTCCAGATTCCAATTTATAGGAAGAACATTGAGACAATGGAAAAAATACAGCACAGATTCCCTGAATACATGAGAAAATACAAAAAAAAGACAAAAAGCGTGATCATTTTCATTAAAACAGAAAAGATTATATTGTGTTTTGATGCAAAGCAGTAAATTACAATGGAATTGGACAGGATTGATGTATATAGATTGTTTCAATTTTTTGAAGATCTAAAATGAGGAGACATAGATATTTAAGGGCCTAGATTTCTAGGCCCCTCAATGAGGCCTACATGCAAGCAGTTAGTTTGTCAGATTGTCAGCATTATTCCAGAGGCCCTCTTGGGGCAGAGTGGTAGTGTCCAACTCCCAGACCAGGGTCAAGTCCCACCTGCTCCACAGATGTGTAATAACATCTCTAAGCAGGTTGATGATAAAAAAAATCAGCATTATTCCACCCTCAAGCCATTTCCCCAGAATGGAATGATGGATGACTACAAAAGTCACCTGCACAAACTAGTGTCCAATTAATTGGTTAAATAGCTACTTACAGCCAATTGTCAGAGGCTGAATTGTCAGGTTGCCCTGGGGGTGTCCTTTGAATGCATGAGGTTCAAAGTCTGCTGCTTGGACTCAACCTTCTGGCAGCAGATCAGAGAGCCAGTCTTCCCAGCTGGCTTTGACACCCTCCCTGTCTACCTGGCTCTAGCTATAGCTGCAGGATCATAGAGAGTGAAGGCCTAGAGCCTAGGTCTCCTCATAGACTTATAAACGATGTATATCTTACAAATATAACTTGTACTTGACTGCTGTCATGCAACGAACTGCCTCTGTTTAAGACAAGAGCCTCCTCTCATTAGTGGTTTTTCATTATCACTGCAAACCTGTAGGCCTAGTCAACAAAAGAGAAATAGTCAGTGAACTACCCTGACCACAGGCCAGTAGTGACTGGCATCACACACACCCTCCATAATGATAACCCAACTGCTACTGCTTCTTCAGTACCCTGCCCAAAAGCACGTCTATCCTAGAGTGCCACAATCATCACCAAGGGCAGGGTAAGGAGACAGCTCCCAAATCCATCAAACTGCTCCACACCAATCTTCCAGCTAACTGAACCAACCAGCCCCCCGCAAGGAGTTCCAAGTTGCTGTGGCAACTCACACTTTTGCATGCATGTTATAAACAATGAAGAGTGATGGCACTCCAATTTCTTTCCATCAAATGGCTATCCAGGAATCTCTCACATGTATTGGACATGACATGTATTGGAAGGATTACAAGTAAATCCTCAGCCTGTTTGGCTATGGTACAACCACATTTTCCACGCCATTGAGCCCTGGACTGGAACTTGAACACAGAGCTCCTGGATCAGAGGCAGACACACTACCCATTGTGCTGAAGGATAGGCTAAGGACCTCATTTTAAAACGTTGGCAAATTGGAGTTAGGGTGGGATCCTCCATCACTGCTCAGTGATCATTCCCAAAACAGGTCACCAGTCATGGCCCCATTTAATCCCAATGTCAGGGTCCAGATCCAAACCCCAAAATCCTGCCCAAGATTTCAGCCAGTACCTTTGTGTTGCATAGTACAATGAAAGGATGGGAGAAGGAAAGGAAATCCTTATTGAAGGACAGAAAGAATGTTCTACCTGAAAGTGGGTAGACAATAATATTGTATATGAACCTGAGAATGCATTATATGTTGAATTATAAAAGCAAACAATTTATTGAAGGGTGTTTTATTGTTTATTTTTATCTGAATCAATTATACACAGCTTTTAAAGGTGTGTATTCTTTATTCTCAATATAACTTACTTTCTAATTTTTTAAAATATGGATTTTCTGTCTCCAGGAAATCTCCTTGCTGGATGGATGTATTTTACAGCCTGCTCAGATAAGGCGAACAGTTCCTCCAAAGTGCCTGGCCCTCCCAGGACAAGTATTTCGAGGTGCAGGCAGCATCGGAAAGTTTGTTCCACGTTCTGTGCCAATAACAAAACCAAGTGCACCTTGCACTTCCTCAGAGGATTCAACTCTCTTAGGAGTTCCACTTTGTGGTTTCAGCTGTTTAATGCGATGTTGTTGCTCAGGATTGGATTGTCTCTTATTTCGTTGTCCTGTTCTTTTACTGTTTCTTTGTTTAATAGCACCTGCTCCCACAACTTTAGCTGGACTGATCACCACCTTCAGTAACATAAAGACCATGTCAATTCCATCAAAGCATTCCCACTCAATATTTTAAAGCCAGTCACTTATATAGTAGGTAGAGCACATTTGTAATCTAATAAGCAATCTGGTAGAATAATAAAAGGGAGTCTTTTACCACCAGTCACCTGCTGGGCAGAATTTAAACTGGGCAATGAAGTCTCCACTTGCCAGTTGTAGAATCAGAAAGAGTTCTGTGTTATCTCTACTGGGAATTGTCCAATGGAATTATAAGTACTTGCCGGGAATCTAACTGGCCAGCATTGACCTTCTCTGGGATTCAAGACCCCTAAGGGAGGATTAATCATGCCCACCAAGAGATTCTGTCAGTAAAAGAGCCAGCAAGAGGCCCAAGATTGCTAAAGGAATCAAGCCTCAGATGAGCGAGGGCGGGACAAGGGTCACTAGGAGGTGTTCCCCTTGGCTGGGTAGGAGTAAGGGAGGTCCTTTAACTTTGGGAGTAGACCCAAAGGAAATTAATCTCAAAATATTTGGAAACCAAATTGAGATTCATTTAATGAATTTTAATCAGATTCTCCATTGATTGATTACCCTTGGTCTGTAGAGCTCACAATTCACTTCGACTGTCTCCTTCCCAGAAATAGGTTTATACACAGAGGCTGTGCAGAAGCCTTTGCTCTGCAAAGGAAGAAGATAACAGGAAATGTTAAACAATACAATATAACAAAAGCTTCTTTTAGTTATATTATCTGATTTCAAAATGTTCATTAGATTTATACAACTAGACATTAAATACAGGGAAGGGCAAATGCTCCTTCACAATCCTATGCAAGAAGTTGAGCAGAATTCTGGCAGAATGTGTTATTGAATTAGTATTTATTGGGCCAGTCAAATGTTTTACAATAAGACTTACGCCAGAAGCAAGTTCTCCTCTACCCCTTGGACAATCTTGAAGCTTGGAAGCTTTAGAACATGCAGTTTCTTGGATTGTAAATTCAACAAATACTTTCTTCCCAGCCAAAGCCTGAAAGAAAATCATGCAAAAGCTTCCTTTAGCAGCTAATACTGTGAATGATTAGCATTTGTGATTGTAAAAGAAATGTCTGCAATCAGTGAAATATTTAATTGTGTTTACCTATTTCTCCTATTCCATGGGTTGTGCATTGTTACCTACATACCAACATGCCACCATCAGCATAGAGAAATGATACCTGCCACTATCTCTTACAAGGGATGATATAGACCATAGGGATAGTAATATATCGATGTATTTTTGTCCAGGTATTCAGCTTTACCAAAGTTAAAGCATGTATTCAACAAGTTGGATCTGTTGGAATGATGGGCTGTTAATGTCAGATGGTTCTGTCCATTGTCCATTCAAATATTCTTGGTGGGCACTTAATGAGTGTCTGCCTCAATGATTTAGAATAGATACGTATCCTGTACCGATGTACCTCCTGGCTTGCTGTTATCATGTGACTTCTACCATGTTCTCATAAAGCCAAATTATTTTGCACATAAGTGTATGGCTAGAAGGAACTGCACCAAGTAAGTATGGAGGGCCACTGGAGAGAACTCAGCTAAAAAGACCAGTTAATCATTCTAAACCATCCAGCAAGTTGAGTCAGTATAGTGTATGAAGTATAGTGTATGATCTGCTGATTTATGGATGAAGAAAAGCAATAGAAGAAATCATAGATGACCACTGTCAAAATCTAGTGCAACCACTCAACCAAGCTCACCAGATAACTGTGAAGCTACGCAAAAAAATAATGCAAGTTAAGATGTAATAGTCCATAGGCCATGCATAGGCAGGAATATGTCTTTGCTTGGATCACAAAAAGGTGAGAGCTGAAGCAGTGATGCAATGATCAACAGACGTAAAAGCAGAGATATGATTTGTTGGATTTGTCAACTTTTTGGCAAAATTCTTGCCCAATCTATCATCAGAGTGTAAATCATCAGGTCACAGCCAAGGATGTAGAGTGGTTTTGGCAGACAGGGACAAAAAAAGTAGCATTTGCTCAAATCAAGCAATTAATGACATGAAATTGCTGAAATAATATGACATAAACACTGAAGTAACCCAACAGTGTGGCACAATTCAGTGAATACTCATAACAACCTTAATGCAGCAAGGACAACTTGTTACATTTGTATCCAGGACATTAATACAAATTAAGAATTTCTCACCATTGCCTTTGCTTGTAAACACTTTCACCAATACCTACATGGAAGAGACAAATTGATTGTCAAGTCTGACCACAATCCACTGCAAAACATTTTCCTGAATCTCTACCATCTGCTCCGACTCATTTGTAAAGAATGTTACTCCGGTTACATCTCAACATGGCGTGGGAAGGGAAGAGGATGTGTTGTTGAGAGCAACACCACTGAAGAAGAAAATGGAGGTTGTTACAACAGAGTGTCAAACTTCCTTGACCAAGCATAAAGCATCAGTTTGACATGCCCTGGAATTCATCCACACTGCCAAAGCATTGAATTTAACAGACAAGCTGCTTGCTCAAATCAAGAGAACTACCTTGAAAGATGAGGCGCTCTGCAAGTGTTGCATGAAGTAGTAATAAAAGGTGGCCTGAAAGCATCACACCTTTTTGCTACAAGAGCTTATTGCACATACAAGAGATGAATTGATGGCCTTAGATGGCATATTGTAGAAAGGAAATGGTGTCATTATTATGCCTCAGGAGTTGAGAGGAAAGTTACTAAAGTACATCAATGCAAGCTGCTGAGGAATTGAGTCAAGTCTGAGAAAGACAAGAGATATGCTATGCTGGCTAAACATAAGCAACAAAATCAAGGACCACATCAGTGCAATTCTTGTAATAAGGGCCAAGCTAAATAAGGTAGACAGCCACTGATGACGTGTGACATCTCAGATGAACCATGGATGAAGCTGGAAATAGACTTCATCATTCATTTAGGAACTGATTATCTTGTCACTATAGACTCCTATTTTAACTGTTAGATGGACGAGCTGACTTCAATGACTACCAGTGAGATTGTAGAAAGTCAATTCACATATTGCCATTATAGCATTCCATGCAGTGTGATAAACGATAATGGTCCTCAGTCACAGGGGAAGAAGTCAGCTACTTCACAAAGGACTGGGAAATTCAACAACATTTATTATCACCACATTAGCCCCAGTCAAATGACTGAGTTAGCCATGAAAATTGTCAAAGGAATCAAGCAAAGCCAGACCTGATATATACAGAATAATCTGCAACTGGAAAACACATCCAAAGAAGGCATGGAAAGAAGTCCAGTATGAAAATTGATGCATGCCTAAAACTCTTTCAAGAGCAAAAGACTATTGAAGCCAAAGAAATAATAGGCATGAGTAACAAAAAATCAAGGTGAAATAATGGAAAACTAAATTTCAATTTGGCAACAGCATCAAGTCATTGGCAGAATTAAGTACTAGAGAGCCAGTCAAGGTACAAACCTTCAACTCATTCAGCACGAGGCAGGTCATGTTGCAAATTAGGATCTGTGTGAAGAAGTTATCATCTCAATCATACATGATGGAGGTGAATGACTGGATATATTATCACAACAGTAGGTACATAAATACAACTAGAGAAACTGTTGTCTTATGGCAGGTTAACCAGATTCAGGTTCAGCGGGATGTTCAGCCAGCATTGAACCTGTAACAGTATTTCCATTGATTCATGGAGTCATTGAGCAATAGAGTCATAGAGATGTACAGCATGGAAACAGATCCATCGATTCAACGCGTCCATGCTGACCAGATATCCTAAATTAATCCAGTCCCATTTGCCAGCACTTGACCCTATTCCTCTAAACCCATCCCATTCATATACCCATCCAGATGCCTTTAAATGTTGTAATTGTACCAGCCTCCACCAGTTCCTCTGGCAGCTCATTCCATACACACACCACCCTCTGTGTGAAAAAGTTGCCCCTTAAGTCCCCTTTAAATCTTACCCTCTCAACTTAAACCTATGCCCCCTAGTTCTGGACTCAGGTACCCTGCGGAAAAGACCTTGGCTATTCACCCTGTCCATGCCCCTTATGATTTTATGAATGGAATAAGGTCACCCCTCAGCCTACAATGCTCCAGGGTAAATAGCCTCAGCCTATTCAGCCTCTCCCTATAGCTCAAACCCTCCAGCCCTGGCAACATCCTTGTAAATCTTTTCTGAACCCTTTCAAGTTTTACAACATCCTTGCAACAGCAGGGCGACCAGAATTGCAGACAGTATCCTATAAGTGACCTAACCAATGCCCTGTACAGCTGCAACATGACTTCTCAACTCCCATACTCAATGCACTGATCAATAAATGCAAGCATACCAAATGCTTTCTTCACTATCCTGTCTACCTGCAACTCTACTTTCAAGGAACTATGAATCTGCACTCCAAAGTCTCTTTGTTCATCAACAGTCCCCAGGACTTACCATTAAGTGTATAAGTCCTGCCCTGAATTACCTTTCCAAAATGCAGCACCTCACATTTATCTAAATTAAACTCCATCTGCCATTCCTCTGCCCATTGGCCTATCTGATCAAGGTCCCATTGTACTCTGAGGTAACTTTCTTCACTGTCCACTTCAGCTCCAATTTTGGTGTCATCTGCAAACTTACTAACCATACCTTCTGTGTTCACATCCAAAACATTTATATAAATGTCAAAAAGCAGTGGACCCACTGATCCTTGTGGCACACCGCTGGTCACAGGCCTCCAGTCTGAAAAGCAACCCTCTACCACCACCTTCTGTCTCCTACATTTGAGCCAGTTCTGTATCCAAATGGCTAGTTCTCCCTGTATTCCATGTGATCTGACCTTTTGAAAAGATCTTGGATTTTCTTTCAAACTTGAAATACTCGTAGACTTTGGAGACAACCAGATAGAATATCAACTGTAATGTAATTAATGTTTTGTTGTTATCCACATCTCCTTAGAAAGCAACATTTTCACTGTCTCTGCAATGTTCAATATAAAATTGTCATTCTTGGACAGTAAATCTCAAACTGTGCAGACCTTTTCACAAAATATTTCTTGATAGTATCTGTGGAAATATCTTTAAACAAAAAAAAAAGTTCAGACTTTTTTCTTAAGCTTTTCTGAAAAAAGAACTTTACCTGAGAGGCTGCTCTTGTTATTTTCTGGACTACAAAATAATTTGTTGTGTTGCTGTTTCTGTTATATTTTTGCAATGCCATCATGACAGCTGGATTGACATCCGAATGGTTTAATGGTATGCGATGTGGGCAACTTGGGCATCTGCTCAAAACCATGTCATCTGAGTCTTCAAACAAAATAGAAAATGTAGAGCAAACTCGATAAAGTTGTAAAAACCGAAAGAACTGCGGATGCTGTAAATCAAGAACAAAAACAGAAGTTGCTGGAAAAACTCAGCAGGTCTGGCAGCATCTGTGAAGAAAAAATCAGAGTTAACGTTTCAGGTCCGATAACCCTTCCTCAGAACCATCGATAAAGTTGTATTTAAGTTTTTAACTACTCTTTACATTTTCTCTACATGTTTTAAATTATCGAAAATATAGCCTTAAAGGAATAACCTGGTCAAGTGTCCATGCTACATGACAGACGGTTGTGTATCATGGCTTTTCACATCCATGTGTTTGTTTTAGTCATGTCAATCTCCACATATAATAATACTATAGGATTTCAGCATACTGCTGGTATGTGAAGATTGAAGAAGACACTACCAGATACTCAGTAACAATCTCCATAATGGTGTTATGGGACACTAGTATTCCACAATGATTGCAGTAGGCACTGTCATGAACTATGGCAGTAGCAATCTCCATAAGATTGTTGGAATTTCCATTAGCGATTAGAGCATGAAACTTGGTAATACATGGGGCTGGATAATACATGCCTCTGCCAGGTGCATTTTCAGTGGGAGAGGTGAGGAGGTTAGCATGTAAGATAGGATGAGTGCCCAGCCCACCAATCTCACACCCACCCTTGAGCTCACCCCCTTAATAATGTGGGTGGATAGTGCCAAAATAATTACATAATAAAGAGTCAATTGAGGCTGTTAAAAGCTTAATTGACCCTAATGTTATCCTGTCCATTCCATGACATGGTTGACATGGGCAGGCAGACAAAAATGGACAGTTATTTTTTAAGATTTTAAGACAGTGGGCAAGCTGTACACTCTTTGGAGGGTGTCCTTTGCTCATTAGGAACACCCCGCAGAAAATATTACTGCCCCGTTGTAGCTCCTGAGAAGGCTTCTTATTCTCCTGCCAACTAGCCACTGATTTTGCTTTTGGAAAGACAGGCCTGTAAATTTCTGCCCAAGGATTACCTGGCACAAGTGGCACAGATGCATTTAAGGAGAATCTAGATAAGTTCATTGGGAAGAAAGGACTAGAGGCTTAATTTGGGCTCGGTAAGTATAATGGATGTGAAGCATCAACATCAGCACACAATGGAAATTCAACATAATTCAGCATTAGATTCTACGATAGCTCAAGGTATTTTGCCATGTGTGAGTTTGACCAGATCTGACAGATAGTTCCAGCAGCAATCTTCATCGAGTAAAAGTAGGATAGATGAGGTCTTTATGAGGACTGTAAAGGCAGTGTAGTGGCGGCAGGGGTGTAGTGGTAATATCCCTGGACTGAAGCTCCAGGCTAATGCTTTGGGAACATGGACTCAAACCTTACGATGGAGAAAACATAAATCATTAAAAATAGCCTCAATTTAAAAAATAAAGTTAGACTAATAGTGACAAAATGACCTTCATTGATTATTGTAAAAACCCATCTTGTTTACTAGTGTCCTTCAGGGATGGAAATCTGCCATCCATACCTGGCCTGACTTCTATGTGACTCCTGATACACAGAGATGTGGTTGAATGCAAATTGTCCCATGTAATGGCTGAAAGACCCAATCAGTTCAAAGGCAATTACGGATGGGCAACAAATGCTGACCTTGCCAGTGACACCTACATGCCAAGTAAGAATTTAAAAAAGAACAAGCCGTAATAAGAATCTCTTGCAGGATAAAACAAGGTACTGCAGGAGCAAGTATAACACCTAGCAAACTAGAGAAAGATATTTAAAACATAGAGACCAAGAGGGAAACAAAGGATTGAAAGAAATGATTGGAATGAGAAAAGCACTGATGGTTCACCAGTTTGGTGAATTATCCTGTTAATGAACATGTCCAAGGTGAGCAGTGTTTTGAATTCAATCTGCCTAGTGCACAGCAAAAATCACATTACCACAATTCTCTGTCCTACCTGGTGATATTAAACATCGGTATCTGTGAATCCGAACAAGTCGTGTTGTTGGGTTGATTTGTAATTGGACTTTACAGTCGCCAGAAATCTATTTGAGTTAAGGAAAATATACTTTGTTAGCTATTTACAGTTTACTTGTCAGCCCGCTACATTTTTTTCCCAATTCAGGGGATGAGTGAAGAACCTCCATATGTAGCTGTAATCAGAGGGACTGTTGTGGTTTAGTGGTAGTGTTATTACTCTGGGTTAGGAGATCTGAGTTCAAGTCCCACCTGCCCCAGAGATGTGTCATAACATGTCCAAAAAGGCTGATTAAAAAATAACCATAGCTGTTTTCAGCATTTGCTCTTAGTACTGAAACAGGATACAATAAAATTATGAGATCGTCATCTCAGTTAATTCATGATTGACTAAACATTTCCCAATTTTCTTTTGCAAAAAGTAATTTTATGATTGGAATAAGACATAAGCAATCAGTTTTTTGATCTCAGCCTGACAGAAATATATAAGTACAATTTGTTCTGATGATAAATAGGAAAATCAGTTTGGAATCGACACTCCTACTCATTATTCAGTGTACTGCCTTAGGTGTCAGTTTAGCAAATAATTAAATTGAAATGTGATGCTTCACAGTCAAACAGTTTGCCAGCCTCCACTGTGATGATGTACATGTGACAAAATGACAATTTGAGCAAGGTGCTGGGGAAGATGATCAACATTAATAAAGTAATCCTTCAGTGGTGTGATGGCTAGATGACTGGTTTGCAATGTGAAGGGATGCCAATAGCTTGGGTTTGATACCCACACCAGCTGAGATTACCATGAAGAATTCTCCTTCTCAACCTCTCCCCTTGGCTGAGACCTGGTGACTCTCAGGTTAAAACGCCTCCAGTTATGTCTCTCTCTCTAATGAAAGTGCAACTCTTTCATCTGATTAGACCATGGCAACTTTATTTATGTTGTGGCCAAACAGACATTTTTAAACAATCCTTTGGGGAGTTATCTCTGGTGTTGCAACCAATATTCACCTCTCAATCAACAGAAATAAAACAGGTCAGTAGCATTTATCTGGTCAGTAGCACATTGTTGTTTGTTGGAGTTTATTGTGGATTGGTTGGTTGGTTTCCTAAATTACAACAACAATTCTTAAGAAGTATTTAGTTGGCTATATAATGTTTCGGGATATACTGTGGACATGAAAAGCACGTTCATAGCATGGCCAAATGAGTTGTTTATCAACCTGTAAATCTTTCCAATATGCCTATAGTAGGCAGTAAGAGAAAGAAAGTCTTCTGGTCAACGAAGTTTAATGCTGAATGGTTGACAACCTGTTGCAGGAAAATCTAACAACAGAAACAGACTACATTGTCTGCCTCATATGTCACTATAATACAGAAAAAAATTCTTACACCCTTTCCCGTGTATCATTTACTTCACTGAGTTGGAGGCTAGTGTAATCACAAAATTCTATTCAGTTAACATTCAGTACACCAAACACCTACTGGGAAATCAATGCCACCTCAGTTCTCCCTGAGATACCACAGCAGTGCAGATAGCAAGTGAACAGTGATGGCCTTAGAGTGGGTGCTGATCAGATCATTTTATAGGGATAGACACAGTAAATGAGTGGCTCTTCCCCATACACATTTCCAAGAATATTAATAATATATTTAAATGTAAATGTCTCAGCTAACTTATACATTCAAAAGGGAGATTTACCGCCTCAGATCCTGATCGTACTTCACATTCTGCCACAGGTTTTGGGTTCAGTGAGTAGCATGTAGTCTCCAATACCTCAAACTCTAAATAAGCAGAGGATACACCTTGCTTCTGTAAGAAAAAAATAAGATTTATCATTGATCAAAAACAAATCTGTCACACTTGCAGAGCTATGATTCATATTCATATCAAAAGCCTATTGAAACTGAAACAAAACTCCCGCAAATGGAAGTTGAGTGAATGAGCAAAATATGAGCAGAGTTGGAAAATGCAAGGCTATTTGAATGGAGAAAGACCAAGAGAACTGTCAGGACCAGATAAACTGGATGTCCTTGTACATTAATCACAAAAGGTTGGCATGCACGTACTCAGGTAATTGGGAAGACAAATACAATGCTAGCATTTATTACAATGGGATGGAAACAAAGAAGTAGAAATATCTAGTGCAACAGTGTAGTGCATTGTTGATTTTGCATCTGGGGTATTTGGTATGGTTTTGGTGCCCTTACTTAGGCATAGATAAACTTGCATTGGAAGCAGTTTTGAAAAGGTTCACTAGACTGATTGCTAGGTTGAAGATCATGTACTTATGAGGAAAATTTGCACAGGTTGGGCCTATACACATTGGCAGTTAAAAGAATAAGAGATGTTCTTATTGAAACACATTAAGATTCTAAGGAGGCTTGACAGGGCAGATGCCTTGAGGTTCTTTCTTCTCTTGACCCTTGGGAGAATCTAGAAGTGGGTGGCAATGTTTCAAAAGTAGGGATTTTCCATTTAAGATGAACGTGAGAAGGAATCTCTTCTCTCAGAAGGTTGTTAGTCTTTGAAATTCTCTTCCACAGAGAACAGGGGAGGCTGGTTCATTGAAAATATTTAGGGCAAAGTTAGATAGATCTTTGATCAACAAGGGAATCAAGGGTTATGGGAGACAGATTTAAAATTAAAGTTATGGCTATAATCAGACGGGCTAAGATCTTACTGAATGGCAGAGCAGACTCATTGGGGGCCAAATACCTACTCCAACTCCAATATTTCATGATTTTATATATTAAATTGCTATTTGTACCCATTGTATTTTGATATAACAGTAACATTGTAAGTATATACATGTCATCCAATTTTGATCAGCTATACTGTGAATGTTGCCAACAACAATAGAATGATGTTTTAATTAGACCATAAGTAGGAACATATTACAGCATTGCTTCAAATACAAAAGGTTAAGCTTAAAGAAAACTGCTACCATGAAGAAATTGTGCACACCTTGCCAATAATAATTTAAGCTAATTTCAAAACCATTCTGATCAATGATCTTGAACTCAAATGACAGTGGTTGCATATAGCAGAATTTAGCCATAACAGTCTCATTGAAACTGAAAATACTGGACTTATACTGCAGGTCTGCCAATAATTGTAGAGTGAACTTTTTGTCAGAACTGCTGAAAATACCATTCACTGGAACTGTCTCCAGGTTACTTTTTCTGTCAATAAATAATCGCGGTATATGGTTAATAGAATGTAATAGAATGTTTATTTTCAATTGTTTCTCTTTTAAATGCAGTGCCATATCAACTTAACTAATCTAAGCGCTATATTTTACTTGTACTCACCCCTCTGACTTCCTGGGCATTTTCAATTTTGTTTAGTGTGTACTTGTATCCTCCTGGCTGGTCAGCATTGATGTGTTCCACAGCTAGATCTGCTGCTTTCACTACCCTTGCCTCATTGCAGGAAAGGGCTCTGTAAGAGGCTGCATGGGAGAGCTGGAAGAATTGAGTGCTGACCAGCAAAGCAATAAACGGACTCATGTTGTATGACAACTGCAATAATGGAGTTGTACTGTGTTTAATACACAGCGCAAGTGGTGGCTTGAGCATTAACAAATTCACAGCAGCATTGATAACTACACTACAGTAGGGTAGATTCCAATTGTTCAGCTACTTGTCTAAATGCCATGTGATTTCAGGCTACATATTTGACCATGGGAAAAATAAACATGTCAAAACAAACATAAAAATTGACAAAATCAAAGAATTTCAATGACATAGCAAATTCTAAAGCAAAGATCATTTGAATCACTCATACAGTACAGTTACTACTGTAGTTAGTGAAGGTCTGGGCTATGTTCTCATGATGGTCAAAGGAAGGCTTCACCTAGAACCTTACCCAGGACTGCCACACCTGGCAGAATCAAATGGAAGTAGTGCAGTCTCCTTTGAAAATGAGCAGATATCAGGCAGAGAGAAGAAAACAGAAGGACAGACATATCCCAAGGCAGCTACTCGTCCAAAAATCAGTCACCTGCAATATCTTAGATAACAAGGTGTAGAGCTGGATGAACACAGCAGGCCAAGCAGCATCAGAGGAGCAGGAAGGCTGATGTTTTGGGCCTAGACCCTTCTTCAGAAATGGGGGAGGGGAAGGGGGTTCTGAAATAAATAGGGAGAGAGGGGGAGGGGGATAGAAGATGGATAGAGGAGAAGATAAGTGGAGAGGAGACAGACAGGTCAAAGAGGCGGGGATGGAGCCAGTAAAGGTGAGTGTAGGTGGGGAGTTAGGGAGGGTATAGGTCAGTCCAGGGAGGATGGACCGGTCAAGGGGGCGGAATGAGGCTAGTAGGTAGGAGATGGGGGTGGGGCTTGAGGTGGGAGGAGGGGGTAGGTGGGAGGAAGGACAGGTTAGGGAGGTGGGGACAAGCTGGGCTGGTTTTGGGATGCAGTAGTGGGAGGGGAGATTTTGAGGTTTCTGAAGTCCACATTGATACCATTGGGCTGCAGGGTTCCCAAGCGGAATATGAGTTGCTGTTCCTGCAACCTTCGGGTGGCATCAGTGTGGCACTGCAGGAGGCCCAGGATGGACATGAAAGGCTGACGTTTTGGGCCTAGACCCTTTTCTGATGAAGGGTCTAGGCTCGAAATGTCAGCCTTTCTGCTCCTATGATGCTGCTTGGCCTGCTGTGTTCATCCAGCCCTGCACCTTGTTGTCTCAGATTCTCCAGCATCTGCAGTTCCTACTATCTCTGTTTCAATTTAAACCCAGGATGGACAAGTCGTCTGAGAAATGGGAGCAGGAGTTGAAATGGTTCGCGACTGGGAGGTGCAGTTGTTTAGTGCGAACTGAGCGTAGGTGTTCTGCAAAGCGGTCCCCAAGCCTCCGCTTGGCTTCCCCGATGTAGAGGAGGCCACAATGGGAACAGCGGATACAGTATACCACATTAGCAGATGTGCAGGTGAACATCTGCTTGATGTGGAAAGTCTTCTTGGGGCCAGGGATGGGGGTGAGGGGGGAGGTCTAGGGGCAGGTGTAGCACTTCCTGCGGTTGCAGGGAAAAGTGCCGGGTGTGGTGGGGCTGGAGGGGAGTATGGAGCGGACAAGGGAGTCCCGGAGAGAGTGGTCCCTCCAGAAAGCAGATAAGGGTGGGGAGGGAAAAATGTCTTTGGTGGTGGGGTCGGATTGCAGATGGCAGAAGTGTCGGAGGATGATGCGTTGGATCCGGAGGTTGGTACGTGAGGAAGAGGGGGATTCTGTTTTGGTTGTTATTGCGGGGAGAGGTTGTGAGGGATGAGTTGCGGGAAATGCAGGAGATACGGTCGAGGGCATTCTCGACCACTGAGGGGGAGATGTTGCAGTCCTTGAAAACGAGGACATCTGAGGTGTTCGGGAGTGGAATACCTCATCCTGGGAGCAGATGCGGTGGAGGCGAAGGACATCCACTTCACCAACACCTTCCACCCCAACCTTAAGTTCACCTGGACCATCTCTGATACCTCTCTCTCCTTCCTGGACCTCTCTGTTTCCATCTCTGGCAACTACCTGGAAACCGATATCCATTTCAAGCCCACCAACTCCCACAGCTACCTAGAATACACCTCCTCCAACCCACCTTCCTGCAAAAATGCCATCCCCTATTCCCAATTCCTTTGCCACACACAAAGACTTTGACTCTATGTCACTTCTCGCTATTGATTTAATTTAATTTCTTACCAACAAGGCAACCATATCCCCTCTGTCCGTTTGCCTGCCCTTTTGATCGGACATGTATCCTTGGATACTTAGTTCCTGACCCTGATTCCCCTTGTAGCCGCATCCCTGTGATACCAAGACCATCGTACCCACCAATTTCAATCCGGACTACAAGCTCCTTTTCCCTTGATTTATATATTGCGTGTAGTTAAGTAGAACACCCGTACTCCTACATTGACTAAACCCGTCTCATAGTTATCCCCTTATCATTTGTACAGAATTTAAATTCCTGATCCTTTCTATACTCTGTGTCTTATTACTTGTTCTGGAAACCTTAATAATTTCTGCTGATCCCTCCCCAAACTCCCAAATTATTCCTTCATTGAACACCCCATCGCCCAAATATTTAGTTTAAAGCCCTATCCACAGCCGCAGTTACACAATTTACCAGGACCTTGGTCACAGCATGATTCGGGAGGAGCCTGCCCCATTGGAACAGCTCCCTCTTCCCCAAGTACTGCTGCCCATGTTCCAAAAATTCATACCTGTTTCTCCCACAACAATCTTTGAGCCACACATTTATCTCTTTAATCTTGCTGACCCTATGACAATCAGCTCGTGGCTCAGGTAGTAAACTGGAGATCATTCCCTTCTTAATTCTGCTTTCCAATTTAGCCCCTAGCTTCTCATATTCCCTCACCAGAGCATTTTTCTACCTGTATCATTAGTACCTACATGGACCACAGCAACTGGATCAAGTAATCAGCAACTAAATTCCAAATTGTTGATCACTTTAAACAGTACTGCTGGGGAGTGGGAATGCAAACCATTGAACACATGTTCTGCCATGTTTGTTTAAGACAGGGCATTACCCAGAACAGTGAAGGATAACATGTGACACCGTTGGCATCAAATCTGCATTACACACCAGCTGACATCATAATCTGCCCACCCTGCGTACTTTTGGCGCAAAGCCCTAACCACCATGCTGACACGCTCACCAAGATGATTTTGAAGAAGAGTGAAATACTCCCACCATGTCCTGACCAATATGTGTCCATTATCCAGTGTCACTAAAAATTAGATGATCTGGCCATTGGCACATTTTTGTTTAAGAGATCTTTCTGTGAATACTTTGGCTGCCTCGTTTCCTTTTGCTTCCTCCAGTGACTCCGGTTCTAAAGTACTTCACTGGCTGGAAAGTACACTGGGGCATCCTGACATTATGAAAGTTGTCCCTTTTATCTTAACATATTCATCACTACAGTGAGATCTTTACTTAACAACAATGCATAAAACAAAGTTTCCACCTTGGTATGCTAATTCTAAACACATTTTATTGCACATAAAAAGTAGCAGTATCACACAACAACAGAACAGGATTTACAAAATCACACTGGCTAGATGCCTTCTTCTAACCGATGCTGCTACATTATGGCACTTAATTCAATTGTGCATTCCCGTGTACATTTTACCTTAAAATCCCTCTAAGATAAGGTATACAGGAAACCTTGGGTTACATTTTTCTGCTTTTGATTTAATTAACCATCTGGAAAATATTGCACAATATTGTGAAGAATAGTTTTATTTTACTTTTGGAATGACAAAGGGTATCAAATCTTTTCACTGATCCTCAGGGTACTTGTGTTTTGTTGGGCACGTTGTTGGATCTTCAGGTAGGTCAGGGAAGTGAATAGCTTGTGCCACAGTGCCGGCAACTTGTTCTTCAGAGGATTCTGAAGAGTCGTGGGTAGATCGTTTCCGTTTCGGCACACTGTCAGATTCTTCTACATCTGCAGAAACATTTGCTTTATCTGGAGCTGGAGAAACATGGCCTTCTGCTTCATGAGCATCAGGACCAGCGTCTGGTAAAGCCTCGGTACCTCCTTCCTGTTTTACCACAGGTCCAGCATCACCTTCCCCTTCTGGTGCCTGCAATGTCACAATATTTGAGTTATATTGTAGCTTTAAATTATTTTATAAATTGTGATAACCCATATATTTTTCATAGAGTCCATAACTGAGAAACTTACTGTTTTTAAGTTTTTGAAATACTGTATTGACATGATTTTTCTCAACATCTAAATATTGATTTAAAAGGCACTTAAATATATGATGTACATAACATAAATGTTAGTTTGTTTTTTTTAACATGGCAATAGTGTCACAGATAATGTATTGCAGAGGACGCACTTTTGTGGAGGACTGGCTTCCATGGTGCTATGGCACTGTAAGTTTAATAAAATTGTAATGACACCAATACAAATACTGGGTAGATATGGGCCAGCACTGCATAAATTATGGTTTCTGGGTGGTTTACTCCTCAACCTCTGTAGTGTTTGTTATTATCCTGCAACCTCGTAGTCAAGTGCATGATTCTATGAATCTCCTATTGGGAAAACAACACGATTGGCATGATATCTATGGTCGGTTCCAATAAAATTTCTGAATGATATTCGTAACGTGGCCATTAACATCTATGTAGCTGCCTGCCATGAATGCCATATTCTAGTCTGGTCTGTAATTGGTCCTTACAAAGCCAATAGGTATGAGCCATGTGTTGCCCACTCGCTGACCAGAAGATTACTTCTAAATGTGCCTTTGTACAGAACTCTAGAACAACTGAATATCATTTCATGGCAGGGTTGCTAAAAGCTGGAAAGAAATAGAGAAGTTAAAAGAAGAAAGGGCCATATCAATCCAGGATTGTTTTGTACGGATCTGGCTCACAACTGTCACAGCTTTTCCTCTGGACTATCCATAACAATATTTTCAATAAGGGACTATCATCTGCTCCTCCACAACGGGCAAGTAGCCCAGTGATTCTCTTGATCTTATTCCAATGTTCAATACGATTATGCCTGATATATATCTGAAGTCCAATTGCCCACTGTTAATTCATAACCTTTATTCACCTAACATAGTCAGAATCTGTCAATCTCAGTGTTGAGGATTTCAGTTCACTTGACATCTAAATAATTCTTAAGCGCATGTGCATTCTGAATGGCTTAGCTTTAGTTTTCAGCATGCGTTTCTTGTTTTGGATTCCCTGGGGAAACGTACTCAGTATCTGTTTTATCAAATCTTTCAACATTTTAATCAATCAATTTAATTAAATCACCAAAAAAACTCTTCACTCAACAGAACATGTGACATGCTTTATGTAAATTGAGCTAATTATCAATATTATACCACTTCTAAAGTATAATGTATTCATCCTGTCGTGTGATGACTTGGATACAATGAATAATGTTAAACAGGTGTCAAATATTATAGATAGCATTATTGCTGCAGATGGTGTAATATGGATTTAAATGTAGATCTATGGCTGTAATCCTGTGAGAATATTGGCATATATCTGTAGTATATGTTTAAAACTCAATACCTTTGTGCCGAAGAGCTCACAATCTTCCACAATGGTTTCTGCAGTGGAATTGCCAGGAGTGACAGTGGATACACAGAATCCATATGTCTACAACAAGGTAAAACAGAAAAATCTTTAATGATCAATTGTCTAATGGTGCTAACTTGTTTTTACATTACAAACTTTATACCTGTCAGGGCTAAGCCAAGATAAAAAAAACTTGACTGTTTGAAATCTGGGGATAATTCTATGTCCCATGATGACAGGGGTGGGTGGGGGAGGTATGGTGGTTTGCAGGAAACATGAATCGGAATTTCCAGATGACAATGTTTTAATTCTGCACCCAACTCTTGTTCACTTGTGAAAGTTACCCACTACAGAAAAAATGATCACAATGGTACTGTCTGGATCCTAAACTACAGGAGTTTTTCACAGATTTAACAGTCAAAACTCCTGTGAAACATTTACAATGTTTTCTGAAACGTTATTAAGCTGGAGAGGGTTCAAAAGAGATTTACCAGGATATAGTTGGGTATGGAAGGTTTAGGTTATAAAGAAAGGCTGGACAGGCTGGGACTATTTTCACTGGAGTGTAGGAGGTTGAGAGGTGACCTTACAGAAGTTTATAAAATCATGAGGGGTATAGATAGGAATTATGGTAGTTGTCTTTTCCCTGGATGAGGAATTTCAAGAATAGGGGACACATGTTCAAGGCAAGAGGAGAGAGAATTAAAAAAGACATGAGGGGCAATTTTTTACACAGAAGGTAATTCACGCGTGGAATGAACTTCCTGAGGCAGTGGTGGATGTGGGTACAATTACATAATTTAAAAGACATTTGGATAAGTACATGAATAGGAAAGGTTTGGAGGGATGTGGGCCAGGAGCAGGCAGGTGGGGTTAGTTTAATTTGAGATTGTGTTTGACATGGACTGGTTGGACCAAAGGGTCTGTTTCCATGCTCTATGACTTTATGACTACAAACTTCAACCTCATATATCCCAGCTCTAAGTTTAACGTGAAAAAAGATTTTAATATACTTCACCACTTGTTGCAAATGTGAAGTAAAACTTAGGCTCATAGAGTCATAGAGCTGCAAAGCATGGAAACGGACCCTTTAGTCCAACTCGTCCATGACAACCAGATATCCTAAATTAATCTCGTCCCATTTGCCAGCATTTGGCCCATATCCCTCTAAACTCATCTTATTCATGTACCAATCCAGATGCCTTTTAAATGTTGTAATTGTACCAGCCTCGATTACTTTCTCTGGCAGCTCATTCCATACACACATCACACTTTGCCTGAAAATGTTGCACCTTCGATCCCTTTTACATCTTTCCCCTCTCACCTTAAATCTATGCCCACTAGTTTTGGAATGCTCTACACTGGGGAAAAGACCTTGGCTATTCAACCTGTCCATGTCCCTCATGATTTTATAAGCTTCAATAAGGTCACTGCTCAGTCTCCGATGCTCCAGGGAAAATAGCCAAGTCTATTCAGCCTCTTTCTACAGCTAAAAACCCTCCAACCCTGGCAACATCCTTGTAAATCTTTTCTGAACCCTTTCAAGTTTCACAACATTCTTCCTATAGCAGGAAAACCAGAATTGCACACAGTATTCCAAAAGTGGCCTAACCAATGCCCTGTACAGCTGCAACATGACCTCCCAACTCCTATACTCAATGCACTGACCAATAAAGGCAAGCATCCCAAATGCTTTTTTCACTATCCTGTCTACCTGCCAATCTACTTTCAAGGAATTATGAACCTGCACTCCAAGGTCTCTTTGTTCAGCAAAATTCCCCAGAACCTTCCAATTAAGTGTATAAGTCCTGCCCTGATTTGCCTTTCCAAAATGCAGCACCTTACGTTTATCTAAATTAAACTCAATCTGCCACTTCTCGGACCATAGGCCCATCTGATCAAGTTCCTGTTGTACTCTGAGGTGACCTCCTTCGCTGTCTACTACCCCACCAATTTCGGTGCCATCTGTAAATTTACTAACCATACCTCCTACGTTCACATCCAAATCATTTATATAAGTGTCAAAAGCAATGGACCCAGCACTGATCCTTGTGGCACACCGCTGGTCACAGGCCTCCAGTCTGAAAAACAACCTCTCAACCATCACCCTCTGTCTCCTACCTTCGAGCCAGTTCTGTATCCAAATAGTTAGTTCTCCCTATGTGATCTATGTGATCTAACCTTATAAATTACAAATGTCAGATCAAAATCAACTCTAGCTGTGTCTCCTCCCCTGAAATTTCTCATAGTGGTATAAAAATAATGCAAACAAATCCTACCCATTATATCTGTTCATGAGAATGACTGTGATTTCTTAATCTGACAGATGATTCTCCAGTAACATAACGTAATAAACATATAGTATGTGGCATTAATTATCAATGTTCTGGGGGTTTAGGGATTACCATTGTCCAGAAACTGAACTGGACTGGCCATATAGAGTCATAGACTCATAGAGTCATACAGCACAGAAACAAACCCTTCGGTCCAACTTGTCCATGCCAACCAAGTTTCCCAAACTAAACTAGTCCAATTTGCCTGCATTTGGCCCATCTCCTTCTAAACCTTTCCTGTTCATGTACCTGTCCAAATGGCTTTTGAATATTGTAACTGTACCCATATCTACCATTTCCTCTGGCAGTTAATTCCACAGACCAATCACCCCCTGTGACTCACCTCTAGGTAGGGACACTCTCACTGTGACACAAAAGACCCCAGATATCTTTTCTATTTTATCAATAAACCATCACCCTACTATGATTTGATTATAGTCTGTGTCATAATCCATCATTCATCTGTTTTGACTGTAATATACTCACAGGATTTATAAGCGCAATCAGTGGACATATATCACTGTCCTTCCGACAGGGTGTCTCCCGAATGACATATTCCACCAACACCGGAGTTCCCAGGCCCTGAAATGTAATCGGAATAATGTTCATAGGAAATGTTTATATGATACAACTGCTGTTCATGAATTTGCAGATTCTAAGTTTTTCCAGGATCAGCTGAAGGCAAAGCAGATTTGAAATATTTTGTGCACCTGCCCTGAAAATAAACATGATAGATTGGTGAGATTGTGTAACTGCAGCCCTATCATTAAACTGCATTAGCTAGCAGTGGGAGAACTGATGAGACTATATTAAACCAGTAACAATCATTTCCCCAAAAGAAATAACTAACACTGTGATATTTCTATTAATGAGATTCCCAAATCTTTGTCAACTAATGCTGAATTAAGGATAACGGGAAGTTTATGCTATAATCTCACACGCATTGGAAAGTAACTGGACCATCTGATTTAATTTCATATTGGCTTTTTGTGTCAGTCTGAAATGAATTCAGACACATATCCACAACAAAATGTACTGTGTTCTGATTACTCAATATTTGTAAATGTCCCACATTTCAAACAAAACACAAAAAGCTAGCACACAGTGCAGCAGGTAATCAGGATGCCTAATGGAATGTTGCCCCTTATTTCAAGGGGGTTGGACTATATGAAGAGGGAAGTCTTACTAGAACTGTACATAGTGCTGGTGCGACTACTTTTGAAGTACTGTCAGCAGTTTAAGTTTCCTTATTTAAAGAAAGATATGATTTCATTAGAAGCAATTCAGAGAAGGTTCACTAGGGTTATCCATGATATGGAGGGATACGGAGGTCTTGTGAGCAGAGATTAAAGAAGTTGGCGCTCTACATACTGGAGTTCGGAAGGATGAAAGGTGATCTCATCGAAACACAAACAGACTTAACAGGGTAAATGCTGAGAGGATGTTTCCCCTCATGGGAGAGTCTAAGACCACAGGAAATTGTCTCAGAATAAAGGGGTGTTCATTTAAGACTGAGATGGGGAGGAATTTCTTCTCTTAGACAGATGTGAGTCTCTGAAATACCTTGCCACAGAGTGCTGTGGCAACAGAGTGCTTGTGTATATTTAAGATTAAGATAGATAAGCTCTTAAAGAACATTCTTAAGACTTTCATAAGAAGAGTCAGTGGACCCAAAACATTAACCCTGCTTACTTTCCATAAATGCTGCCAGATCTACTGAGTTTTTCCAGCTGTTTTTGTTTCAGATTTCCAATATCTGCAGTTTTTTTTTAGATAGATTCTTGATCAGTATGGAGGTCAAGGATTATGGAGAAAGGGCAGGAAAATCGATGTGAGGAATTGTGGATCAGCCTTGATCCTATCGAATGGCGGAGCAGGCTCAAGGGGCCGAATATCCTACTCCTGTTCCTATTTCTTATGGTCTTATGGTTTTATGGTCTTATCATCTCCTTTTCTGAAAGCAGTTACTTATTCTGGGTATAGTTCCATGAGTTTTTATTGCCTTAAGTGCCTCAAAAATTTGCAAGCTGTTTAATCATGATGGGGAATTGCACTATCAGAGCTGAATCCCATTTACATATTGGCAATTCTCAATAGGAACCACTGAGTGATAATCAGAAAAAGAAGCTTTAACTAAACTTGCCCGGAAGATCTTAGGACAGTTTGAAGTGTTCTTGCTTCAGATCATAACAAAGTCAGCCAGGTGGCCCTCATTGGATATGAGTTCCCTGTTTGAGATTGTTAATCTGGTCTAATCAGGTAGCCCTGGCTGACAGACGTAAATAGGAATATCAGAGGTTCTGCTCACTCTGAGACCAGCTCTGAGGGAGCTGGATCAGTGTCAAGATCTGGCAAATGGTTATTTGCTCACCTGTTGTCTCTAATGAAAAATTTTGTGTTATGCAAGAATTTCTAACAAACAGCCCATTAACATCGGAAGTGCATGCTTTAGTGTGTGAAGGGAAAAGTTCCCATTCAATGCAATTCATAATCTAATTATACCTCTCCATCTTTATGAAGGTTAACGGAAATTAGAATCAAGAGAATATTTCAGTGTTAACAGGATTTCATTGTGGTTGGCCGTATCAGAGTAACTTCACTGGTCTGATGGGTCTTGTATTTAGTTTTCCGGCAGCAAAAGTGTAAAAACCTGGACATCTAAAGATAAAAGTTATTGAAAAAAGAATCAAACTGTTAACTAACCTTTGAGGAAGAGCGTGTTACTTCATGAAGAATAAATCTGTGTACGTGGTTGCTTTCTTGATTGAATTTTTTAAGTGAGACCTCCACAGCATGTACAACTTCAGTGCTATTTGTAAGTATTAGGTGTGCACAGTCAGGACATTTTTCAGCAACATCATGCGCTGAATCTGCAAAACATATACAAAAGATGTATACTTAAAGAAATTCCCAACTCCTCTTTTCTTCTTACAGTCACTAAAGAATGTGTGTGCCAATGACCTCATATTGTGATCATTCTGTACCTCTTCCGAAGACTCATTCTTAATACTTAATCTCGTCAAGGCAAATAGGCTGTGGGATAAGTGATTTATCATCACTTTCGATTTTGCCTTAGATTACAGGAGGATGTAGACAGGCTGGTCAGATGGACTGATCTGTGGTAAATGGAATTTAATCTGGATAAGCGCAAGATGATGCCCTGGGCATGACAGTACAGTAGGGCCCTAGGACGCACTGAGGATCAGAGGGACCTTGGTGTGCATGTCCACTGGTCCCTTAAGGTAGTGAGTCAGGGAGATAAATTGCTTAAGGTGGGATATAGGATACCTGCCCTTATTAGCTGAGGCATAGAATTTAAGAGCAGAGCGCTTATGCTGGAACTATATAAAAAGTTAGGCCACAGCTAGAGTATTGTGTGCAGTTCTACCATCCATATTATAGGAGAGATGTGATACTGGGGAGAATGTTGTCTGGGCTGGAGAGTTTTGGTTATGAAGAGGGGCTGGATAGTGTGGGATTGTTTTCCTTGGAGCGGAGGAGACTGAGGGGAGCATGATTGAGATGTATAAGATTATAAAGGGCATAGGTAGCAGAGACAGGAAGGAACCTTTACCCTTAGAGGAGGGATCAATGATAAGAGGGCATAGATTTAAAGTAAAGGGCTGGAGGTTCACAGGGAATGTGAGAATTTTTATTTTTACCAGGAGGATGGTGAGAATTTGAAACTCACGTCTATAACGGTGACGGAGGCAGAAAACCTTGCAGCATTTAAGAAGTATTTAGATGTGCAATACCAAGGCGTACAAGGCAATGGGCCAACTGCTAGAAAATGAGATTAGAATGGTTAGATGGTTGTTTTGGACTGGCACAGACTTAATGGGCTGAAGGGACATTTTCTGCGCTGTAGACCTCTATGACTCTCTGACTCATTTCTGCTAAGAATAGTACTTTCACTGACATTAGTCAGCAAAAGAGTGGAAGAGCCAAATACCTTTCCATAATCATCACTGAACCCAAACAAGTCCTGTTCCCGAACTCAAATGAGATCAGCTAACTCAATCCACAGTAGCTATTGAATATGGTACCCTCTTAATCTTTGTAGGTTAGTTTCACATTAGATAACACATTTCACTACCTAAGTATTTTTAAAACATTTTCTCATGTTACACCAACTTAATCCTGCTATTCCCAAGCATTATCAACTACAATCATTGTCTAAAAATTATTTCCACAAAATTTAGTTTCGATTCATTTATCAGCATTTTATCAAATACAAACCTTTCTGATCTGTTTCTTCATGACTAGCTGCCCATGAATCTTTTGAAGTATACTGTCAATTAATTTATTGGAACTATTTCAGATCTATTCTCCTTAAGAGACACCTTCTTCCTTGAATAACTTTAAAAGTAATGATATGTGGGCTGTAAGGGACAAGCAATGAAGACACAAAAGCAGTGTGTGCTTTTGAGGTGCTTTAAAAAGGTTGCCATCCATACCTCGCACCCAGCAGTCAATGCAATTAAAATCAGGGGTTTGGATAAAGGCAAAAGATGTTGGAAAATCTCAGCCAATCAGGAAGAGTCTGTGGGAAGAAACGGAGTCAATATTTCAGGTTAACGACATTTTATTCGGAATTAGAGGAAGGTAGAAATGTAAGAGTTTTCAAGCCAGTGGAAGGGGGAGAGGAGGCAGGAGGAACAATTAAGAGTAGGTCCATGATTGGGTGGAGGCCAGTCGAGATTAAATAATAAGAGATTTCATGATGCCACAATCAAAAAGTGTGGCAATTTGGATTATATATTTTAAAAAGGCTTTAGTCCAAATGAGGCAAATGCCCACATAAAAACCATTTTAACATAACATGAAGGGAAAGTGTATAAACAAGACAAGATCAATCCAGCAAAACAAAGAAAAAGAGAGAAAATAAAAGCACATGAAAGAAGACAGAGACAGTGGTTCTGATCTCAAGTTATTAGACTCAACATTGAGTCCAGAAAGCTGTGGAGTGTCAAGTCAAAAGGTGAGGTGCATTTCATCAAGCATGTATTGGATGCTTGAAACACTGGATCAGGACAAGGACAGAAAGGTCAATATGTTGGCAGGGTGGAGATTTAAAACAACCAAGACCCTGCAGATGAGTTACCTGACTTGCTGATCTTTTTCCGACACTTTTGTTCTCATTTCAAATTTCCAGTATCTGCAATATTTTTATTTTTCCATAAAAGCTATGTGAGGTGCTCCTTCATGTTTCAGTCTGGTGGTAAAATCAAAAATCTATCCCAATAATTCTTTTTGCCATGCAAATTTGGATTTTGATCATTGATCATTAAGAAGAGATGATAGATTTGGTTCTCTCATGATTCACAACTAGTAGCACTGTAGAGTTTTAGGATTTTCCAATCAGTATTCGTGAAAAAGTGAATGCAAGATGGAGGTTATGAAGGACTCATAATAGCATCACACCATCAACCTTCACACTTGTGACTGAATAGTAAATATGGGAGGCTCATTTGTTCATGAGAGAAAGAATCAGCAGATCCAACTCTGTTCATACACATGCACTTTTCAACAAAACACTTTCAAGAAATTAAGATGGCATGGTGGCTCAGTGGTTAGAACTGCTGCCTCACAGCACCAGGGGCTTGGGTTTGACTCCAACCTTGGGGAGCTGTCTGTGTGGAGTTTGCATATTCTCCCTGTATCTGTGTGGATTTCTGCCAGGTGTTCCAGTTTCCTCCTTCAGTCTGATGATGTGCAGGTTAGGTGGATTGGCCATTATCCCAAACTGATAATGTCTATGGAGTGAAGATATTCCTATAGAGTTGAGTGGAAATTTCCCATTCCTCATTTTACGAATATTCTACAAAGACTGCAGTTGGAGGAAAAGGAACAACAAAAGGTTAAAAAAAGGCAGATAAGCAATGAATTGGATCTACCATCACAGGCAAAGAGAGTGGAAATGATAAAAGTCTATCCTGTCTATGTTGACTAAATTTATTGAGAAGCTGTGAAAGATCCTGACCATCCTTTTCAGGAAGAGAAACATCCTTAGCACTTTTCCCAATGGCAAATATGAATAGCAGTAAATATTGACCTTGCCAACAATGCCCACATTCCAAGAATAAACCTTTATTAGTCAGCAAAAGTCTTATACATCATAGAATCCCCACAGTGTGGAAGCAGGCCATTCAGCCCAACAAGTCCACATTGACCCTGTGAAGAGCATCCTACCCAGAACCATTCCCCTACCCTATCCCTGTAACCCTCTATTTCCCATGGCTAATGCACCTAAACTACACATCGCTGAACACTATGGGCAATTAAGCATGGCCAATCCACATAACCTACACATCTTTGGATTGTGGGAGCACCCGGAGGAAACCCACACAGACACAGGGAGAATGTGCAAACTCCACACAGACTGCTGCCCAAAGCAGGTCCCTGGTACTGTGGGGCAGCAGTGCCAACTCCTGTGCCACCCTGAATATGGCTGGGTTTATTTGAAATGTTAGGTAAAGCGCTATGCAGGAACTTGTATGTATTATTAAAACATGGTCAGCAATTACAACATTTCTGCTCAATAACAGCATTATAACAGAACATAATTGTACAGGTCAGTACTTTCTACGTAACTCTGCAGGAGTTTCTTCACTCAATGGACATTATCGGTTTGGAATGAGAATCCATCTCTGTATCACTTTGCCCAATGTCAAATAGGAATAGCAATAAATATTGACCTTACCAACAACACCCATTTTCCAAGAATAAACATTTTTTAGTCAGCAAAAGTCATATAAATCATAGAATCCCCCAAGTTTCCTAGAGTTCAAGAGATCATTGACTGAATTTATGTTGCAATTCTACTAGCCACATACAATGCTTCCCCGTCTATGAAAAAGAATCAATTCTTTTAAATACCAGCTATAGGCGTGAAATAATGCCTACAAAATAAAAACAAAAATGGTAGAAATACTCATCAGCCTGGAGACATCTTTCCACAGATGCTGTAGTTCCAGCATTTTGTGATTTCTGTTTTTATTACAGATTTCTTGCATCCACAGTATTTTGTTTTTGATTTCCATATATCACGAGACGTATTCAAATAGATTCCATAACATCTTTATTTTATGGAATCATCTGGGGGGGCAATGGCCTGGTGGTATTATCACTGGACTATTAATCCAGGGACCCAGGTAATGTCCTGGGAACTTGTTTTGATTCCTGCCACTGCAGATGATGGGATTAAAATTCAATTAAAAATTTGAAATCGAGAGTTTAATGATGACAATGAAGCCATTAACGATTGTCGGAAAAAACCCATCTGGTTCACTAATGTCCTTTAGGGAAGGAAATTGCCATCCTTACCTGGTCTGCCCTATATATGACTCCAGACCCACAGCAATGTGGTTGACTCTTAGCTGCCCTCTGGGCAATTAGGGATGGGTAATAAATGCTAGTCTAGCTAGCGACGCCCTAAACTGGTGATGATTTTTTTAAAAAGTCCAAGCTAACCCTAATTGAAGGGAAAGTATGAGTCCTACTGTAACCATGGCTCATGACAACTATCCAGCAAGCATGAAGGGAGCAGAGTGTCAGTACACCAAAAGTTCATGCTCCAATCAAAAAATCTATTGATTGTATCTTTAGGATGTTAAAGTAAATCTTCAGAAGTCTGATTATTCACGGAGTATCTTACACAGTAAAGCCCCAGACAAGGGTCTAATGAACAATTGTTTCAGATGTGCAAATGCGAGAACTAGATGTCAAAACCTTCATAAATTGAAAGGATAAAGATTACAATGAGCTGCTGAATTAACAATGAACAAGAAAGATTAGTGCTCCAAGCACTAATAAAACATGTCTTTCAATGAATATCACAGCTACATCAAATCAACAGAATGCAAATTGCCTTATTCTACACTTTCATAATGAAGACTCTCAAATCCCTTGTAATGTCAGCTTTTGCTGAGTTCAACATTTACAATAAACCACTACAATGAAGTACATCATCGAATGTTCAATTTGGCACAGCATAAATGTTTAACCCACTGTGCAATTCAGAGAATTTTGTTAGTGTGATTTCCCACACTATTTCACTTTTGTGTGTGTGGTTACAATTGGTTTGTCGCATTGAAAATATGCATCGTAGATCATATGAATATATGAAATATAAATAGCGTATGAAGTTGGCTTTAGGGAGAAATTCCAAAAGTCTTATATCGCTTTCTGTTTTGCATTGTAATGAGTGTGATCTGGATCAGTCGTGTTCAATGTGGCAACTGAATTGATAGCTTTCTGCCACATGCATCATCACTTATGCATTGATGCTTGATGGACTGAATGTGAAATTGTCTGGTCCACTCCAAGCATGCTCCTGTTGCTGGATACTCCCTCAGTTTGTCTATTGATCTGTCTGAGAACAGAACTTTGGACTACTGTGGGGTTCATGAACCTCTGTCTCATCATTGCTTCTGTGCAATACGCTAACATATTAAAGCTGGTCAAGATAGGATCTTTAAGATTGAAGGCCAAGACTTTTAAAATAGCTGCAAAAGATTGATGATAGATGCAGTTTCTATGCTGGTGACATAAGGTACCTGGGATCCTGCTGCAGATGCCACAAGAATTGTGATAGGCTCCCAGATAAATTCTACAGCTATTCTGTGTGAATGGAGGTAGTAGACACCTCCATTCTGATCCACAGGTTTATGAGAGTGAGAGTTCCATCAACATAAGTGAGTTCTTTTAATCCTACTCAAAACTCCTTTCTAAGCAAACTCAATAATGCCTAAAATCCCTAGGAACTAGGGCCAAGACTATTCTAGACCTTTGTCCAACGTGGGTTTAGGCTTAAGCAGCTTTTACCACTTGCTTTTCCTCACCAGCACTGCAACTCAACTGCATTACCTCTCCATCTCGCTATCTTGATACCTTTATGGTTTGTGCAGATGAGCTGGTGATTAGCAGAGGTGGTAATGGCACCATTAGACACTGACTTGCTCAGAGATACTGGCAGTGACAGCAGTTTGACAGCCATCTAAGAAAGAAGAGAACAAGATGTTAACATGTTGTCACAAACAGCCATCTTTGAGCACTACTTTCAAATATAATGTTGTTCCAATTAAATCTATCAGTGACAATAATTAGTTAGCAAAATAACATGACATAACCTGAACCGTATGATATAAACCCTGAAATCAAGGAGAGCCTCTAGTTACACAGCATCTCCTCAATGCACTGCTAGCAATGATTTCAATGGTAGAATGAGGAATTTAAGTCATTTGTTAACTCTTAGTCATGCCTTTTCTTACTAGTTAAAAGCATAGTGGTACATGTATATTGACAATAGAGAAAAATGTAATGCTGTATTTTTAAAGTACTTTTAAATTGGGGACATATGTTTGTTGCATGAAGTCCTTTAAAAATTATTGCTATGCTTCCAGATTGATACATGTATTTCCCCAACTGGAACTACAAAAAGTGACCTAAGGACCTTGATTCAAACAAAATTTCCTTGGCAGAGGTATGTGACATAGTTTCTTTCATTATGGGATCATATTGTGAGCACAGATGACTTTCTTGCACATGTATTTGGGGCATGTTTTATGATTTATGATAGTATTGTTGCCTTACCTCATCAGATTTCTTAAAGGTCAGACCAATTTTCCTGTTGGCTTTCCAAGTGTCGCAGATCCTGAACACGGTACTCATTGATTGTAACATTTCTGCCCAATTCTGCTGCATCATATATGTGTGACGGAGTGCAGTGGCCATTAATGTCATACAGAATGTTGCTCCTCTCCCTGACTGCTTCCAAAAGGACATCCAGTTCCTGGTCAGTAAACCTGGGTTTCCTCTCTCTGCTGTACTCCATTCCTCAGCAATATTGTCCAGTTATCAGATGTCCTCGCCTCCCTACACTATTGCAGCTTTATAAATGACTCTGAATTCCAGTTCAAAGCTGATTATGAGGAGTTTTCTTCTCTCATGCCATTAGAATACTCATCCTGTGGGGATTAACCTGTACATTTTAGCGCACCTACTAAAATCAGTAAAATTATACATGAAGCTGTTTTCTTTTTAACCATCAAAAACCTAAATCAAGATTCAGTTAATAGAGCCACCAACAATTTGTAGCCTGTTGTCTTGCAAGTGGTAACCTTTCACTAATAAAACAAACTTATACTTGATATATAGCCACATCCTTTTTCTTACAGCACAATACAGTTCTGAATTGTATGATAGTGTGCCAATTCAGCAAAAACATATATACCTGAAGATATTTCACACTTGTAGCCTGCCACATGACTGGGTCCTCCAGATTTGGTCTCAATGAGCACCTTACAATCCCCTTCTCCTTTCTAAGGTGACAAATAAAACAAAATGGTTTTAGTTAGACTATCTCAGGGTAATTGGGTTGTGAGTTATTCTTTAATGGCTAAGGCTATAAATTAGAATTTTCAGTATTAGCATATGAATATTTAACGAGTTCATTTGGCATTTCTACATCTGTAATATTAATAAAGGTGTTAAAAACCAGCAAAGAATTTTAATATTCACACGCATAATATTTGCATGCTAACATTAAAAAAATGTTAGACACCAGAATATTGTGTATGGATTTTCCTTATTGTTCTGTTTTTCAATGTTTATGTCTGACAACAAACCATTTTGCTGATGCCACTACAGCATCAATATCAATTTATTGATTCATGTGGATGATAGAGGCAGCTGAGAATGGATCAAAATCTCCCCTGACTCCTTACACACCCTCAGAGCCCTTGGCAATATTCCCCGAGGCTGCGAAACCTGACACTTCCAAACTTGCCCTAGCACTCATTCACTTACCTGGCACTCTAGCATCCTACATACCTGGCACCCTACCCATATTACCCAACTGGAACCTCACCATCCTGGCATCCTACACACCTCATTCACCCCATTCTCATAGCACCCCAGTGACCTCAACCACTGAGCACATGACTCACCTGCTTCACAGCCCTCCCTCACCTATCTGACATGCTAAACCATTGCAAAGCTAGCACCTTATCCACCCAACCTCACTAACCTGGAACAATACACCCCTTACACACCTGGTACCCTGAACCCTCATTCATTTAGCACCCTGATGCCTTAAACAACTGTCACCCTGACATCACATTTAACTTTACATACTTGCCCTTTCACAACAACTGTCAGAGTGAACGGCTGGACATCTCAGTTACACAACACACAGCACACCGACTGCTGCAAAAATCAGGCATGGTTTCTAGGAAGATTTTCATCACTGCTGGGTTTTTAAATTCTTGGACATGTTCATATCAGAATGCCCCTATCCAGGAATCTCCAGCACTGAAGACACCTAAAGGTAAGTATATAATTTTGAATCAAACTTTGATTGGAACATTTGGCCTACATACTTTCCTGCAAAGCGAAAACTCAACAGTATTCTTCACGAATGTTTATTGACCTGTAATGTGCCCATATCAAAGTTTGAGCACCAGAGTGTCCTGTTCCCTTATCTAGCCTGTACAAGGTGCAGGCTCTATTCCAAATTCTAGCCGAGAAGGTGATTTATATCTTTGGGGTTGACTGATGCTACCTACAATGATGCTTCGGAGATTCTCAGCCAAAACAAAAACAAAATCACCTCAAGCTTCTAAAGAAGCCACACCCTGCTCAATTAAAATTATTAGCCCCTGCTTGATTTGGGGCCTTAGCTGAATTTTAGCAGAGTTCACATCAGCTCTCAATTGGTAAGAATTCTGCTTTGCAAGAACACAGAGCTGAAATTTGTGTGAATAGCCAAGTCACTCCAGATGAACATAACCAAGCAGGGGCT